GTAGAAGTGCCTCCCTTATCATTACTACGGTAGAAGTGCCTCCCTTATCATTACTACGGTAGAAGTGCCTCTCTAATCATTACTACGGTAGAAGTGCCTCCCTTATCATTACTACGGTAGAAGTGCCTCCCTTATCATTACTACGGTAGAAGTGCCTCCCTTATCATTACTACGGTAGAAGTGCCTCCCTTATCATTACTACGGTAAAAGTGCCTCCCTTATCATTACTATGGTAAAAGTCCCTGCCTTATGAACATGTGTAATGTAAAAGATTAAATATCTGTAGAAACAAGACACTTATTATTTGAGACCATTATCAAGTAAATTCTCCATACCATACAACAGATCATATTACAATTATTGTACCTTTTGAACCTCGCTTAGCGAATCCTAGGAAATACTCCTGAGGGGGATTTTTTTTCTAGAAAAAGAAAAGCAAACATGAGTAAATAAACCATCATTATTTTTTGTACTAATTCCTTACACAGATATTTTATACAATCAAATGTTGGATCAAGATAAAGTACCACATGTAACAGCACTGTGTAGTACAGTTCAGGTAATAATTTACTTTGTCATATCTCATACTGAACAGCCATCACGACTTCAACACTTGGGATCTTTCCGCCCCCTTATCTTCCAGTAAGGGGTCAGTGACACACACTGTATAACTAATGATGTTGACTACTTATACTTTTGTCTCTTTGTTATTACATTTTTATTCAATGAAATGTATTTTAACCATAAAACCATGTACATGTACAGTCAAACTTTGATATTTCAAACTTTGCAGAACCATCAGAAACAATTCGAATCATAAAGACTTTGACCCACAAATGTTAACTTAGAATATCTTTGAGAACCTGAATATACTCAAGGAGATCAATGTGATTGTTAAGTAAGGAAAAACAAAGCAAAAAAAATGAATTTGAAATCTTTTTATATTGGATTTAATGTTATTAGAAAAATATGTTTTATGTATTAATACACTGTAGTTTGCATGTTTATAGATGTTAAAATGACCCTGGGACATTTCAAAGTTTTCGTACTGGTAATTGTTTTCTTTAGTTGTAATCTTCAATGTTTTTCTGATGATAGGACCTTGATTGTAGTTAAAAACAGTGAGAAATTTGACTCATAAAAGTCCATGTCATCAAAGGAATATCAGCAGTGTTATATAAGGGAAATAAATCTGAACTTTACTGTTAGTTCAACATATCAAGAAATTTGAATCTTCAAATTATGATTTATGATGGTTTTACTGTATATACACTGTATTAGGCAAATGTATTTATCCAAGCATATATCAAAGTACATATTAAAGGGAGTTGACTTTTACTGAAATGAATTAACTCACTAAAACAATACCAACACAGAATGATAACATGACATGCAATATATTTTACAGATACCAACAAGTAAAGTTGTTGAATCAATAATAAAACAAATATTACTTTCTAGAAGTTCATTGTATTAAATGCTACAATGGATTTTTATTGAGTTTGTGATTTGACTTCATCAAATCTTACTGGTAGATCATTCTTACATTACTGAGTTCTTTATCTTCGTGATACTGTTTCAAGTGTTTACCGTGACACAGTTCATATGTCCAGTAACTTTCAATCTGAAAAAAAATGTACAGTCTTGTATCAAAGGAGTAAATCAAGTTGTTGGCACATGAACCATCTACAGGTTATAATTAGCCATGTTAAGGATTTGATGTTAATCATGTGTTTCACTGACTGAATATGACATATATCTGTTTTGAAAAGCTTAATTATATTGGCCTAGGTGATACAGGCATGTTAAGCCAGATTATTATAGTTATAGTTACACGTTCTGTATTAAATTTATCATGCTATTGCATTGGTCATGAGAGAGTTTCAAATCACTTTGAAACAAGGCAGAGTATTGCAAGGCAATCCATAGTCCCCCACCGGTAATTATTTCTATATTTTACAAACAGTACACCTATGTCTTGCATTCTGCACTCGGCCATCCCAAGATTTCTTTGTACACCAAATCTGGTTACTCCAGGTGAAATAGTACAATATATATGCCCTGGAAAAACTTTTTCAAAAGTTAAGGTCAGCGGTCAAGTCATAGGTCACAGTGACCTAATTCTTGCACTCTGCACTCCGCTATCCCAATATGTCCTTTTACACCAAAACTTGTTCCATGAATTCCATCTTGTTTGACAGGCAAGTATGCTTCTTATTCAATGCAGTGAACCCATGCCCCAAGCAAGAAGTTCAAGTAACTAGTAGTGTAGGAGATAGAGCCTGGACAAACTTTTTCTTTGATGCAGGTTAAATGTCAAAAACAGAGTGACCTACTTTGATATACGACACACCGCCTCACCAAGATGAACCCATACTCCAAGTATAAAGTTCCAGTGACTAGTAGTGTAGGAGATAGAGCCCAGACAAACTTCTTCTTTGATGCAGGTCAAATGTCAAAATGTAGGTCAGAGTGACCTTCTTTTAATACACGACACACTGCCTCACCAAGGTGAACCCATACCCCAAGTATGAAGTTCCAGTGACTAGTAGTGCAGGAGATAGAGCCAGGACCAACTTTTTTTTTTTGTAGGTCAAAGGTCAAAATGTAGGTTCGAGTGACCTACTTTTGATACACGACACACCGCCTCGCCAAGGTGAACCCATACCCCAAGTATGAAGTTCCAGTGACTAGTAGTGCAGGAGATAGAGCCAGGACAAGATAGCGGAAGGACTGACGGACATGACACAAAACCATAGCCCCCCCGGTTCCCAGACGGCGACTAATAAGTTGACATTATTATTATAAGCATGCTACAGAGGAAGGGGGGTAACTCGTATATGATCATTTAGTTATGACATCACAAATCAAATCATTATTACTTTGTTTTCAAATTGTGACGTCAAAATCAATGGTGAGCTCATATTCCATTAGTAGTATTAATGACAGAATATAACATTTATCACACTAAACACCCGAATTGCTGGCTTTAACACATTACAGGAAGAGGTTTGTAAAATACAGGCGTGAATCTTATTAAAAATCTCAATAGTAAAGATAACTTACAACGAATAAAGCACAGGGACCTCTGTCCTCTGTAAGGGATATTTTCAATACATAGAAATTTTGAGTAAAGAAAAGGAGAAAAAGACATCAAACTTACCCTGTATGAACAACTTTTCTGTTGAAACAGAGACTCCATCAGCTCATCTGGTGAAGGACCAGCATAATTCTTCTTCGCTGACTGTTAGATTGAAATACAAAGATTACATTGCACAGAAATAGATGTTAAGTCATCAAAAAATAATCAATTGTCATTTAAAAGTAATCTTATAATATCAGGACACTTTTTTCAAATATGTGTGATGATTATAAAGTTGTAAATAGGTACATGTTCCTATAATGGTAATTTATGATGTTCAATGATTCTGGTAAAATCTTAGTGTTGTATGGTAATATATGTGATGATTATAAAGTTGTAAATAGGTACATGTTCCTATAATGGTATTTTATGATGTTCAATGATTCTGGTAAAATCTTAGTGTTGTATTTGAATACTCAAATGTTGTTGTCTTGTTTAAATTATATAATATGTTGCTTCTCTCCCATCTTGGCCATATCTACCAGATATACCCCAGCTATATATATATTAATAATAGTCCAAAAGTGATTTCATACTCATTGAATATCAAAACTACAATCTTCATTTTCCAGTATCATATATATATAATTTATATACATATATTCTAAAAAGAAAAATTCTCAACAACGAGTCTTTAGTACTTTCATCTCTTCTAGGAGATTCTTCAGACATATATATACTGGCATACTTCTAAAGTGCTACACATTGTCTTATACAACAGCACACAGACACATTTTTCTGAGAGAAATTAAAACACAGAATCAATAGAACTATTTGGATTGTTGAGTACTAAATAACAGACCTTCACCTCAATTAAGGACTTCCCACCCTTCGTAATACACATGTTTTTCTTATAGTCTTTTTGTGTCGTCATTTCCGTATTGCGTATCTTGCATTCCATTACCGTAATGTAAATTATAGTAACACCGGTTAAACAATAGTGCGTGACTATGATATGTCAACACCCGATATCGAGACTTAACTTGGATATGTGTAATCACACGTACTTCAGAAATAAAGCTTAATTATGATACAAAGACATTAATTAACTCATGGGAAAACACTGACATACGATCAAACGACTTCAAGAAGGTCGTATATGAGGCGCATGGAATGCAGACTGAAGTGTTTTGTTTACCGACCTCACCTGTACGTATATATCACATGCTAACAGTAGTTCACAAGCTCTTGGTCGCTACGACTTGTGTTGTCGAAAGAGTTGCGCTCTGTCAGATAAATTGGTTCACAAATGCAATTACAATAACTAATGAAAATAGTGGTTTGTAAAATATCAAGATCCCTAAAAAATGCAAGTGCATGTGCATGCACGTAATAATGGCATACCATGCGAAAGCCTATGGTTATATATGTACCTGACATGTTATATACTATGCCTAAGCGGGCTATAGATTGATGTTCAAAGTGTACATGATTGAGAGTAATTTTGTTCCATAAAAGAACAGTAAATTGACATTTAATATAGCAATTTAATTTATTTCCGTCGTTTTGGGTATAGTAAAGAAAATAAGTGTCATTGTATAAATTCTATCCCTCTGCAAAAAGTTCCAATTTGTTTCAACGTAGACAACTCTCATCAGGATCAATATTATTGTAAAATATAAAATAAATGAATTATAAAGACTTTGTGTATTTGGTTAAATTTTTCTCTTTTTATTGTATGAAACTATGTGTCCTGTATGCTTTTAGCTTGTATTTAGTAAGTTTTGTCCATACAATTATATTAAAAAACGCTTTTTGTAATATATTGTAGATATTTTATGATAAATAAAATATTTGTAGGGTTGATTAGCAATGTTTCTTTTCATAATTTTATTTTTGTAATAGTTTTGAACAATGCCACACACTCAAAAAATGTGAAAGTGTGGATTTTGACAAAAATTCATTTTTTCGGTATTTTTTACAAAAAAATCCCCAGTTTACCGGAATGCTTAGATTTTCATAAAATCATCTCTACATACTGACATAACCATTATGTGAAACTTTCATTGAATTCTGCTGGCTAACTGCGAAAGGGTGGAGCCACCTTAACAAGCAACTCATAGCTAATAAGCTATAACCTGTATTACGTACTCACCTAGAAACTAGAAAAAGAAATTGGTAGAAACGTGGACCAATAAAAGGTCTTTCATTTAAACAGAAATACACCATCTCCTTACAAGATAAGTTTTTTTTAACTCCTATAAAATTTGTGTGAATACAGCTTAATCATCTAGCTATTATTATTTCACTTCATATGCTCATTACGTAAAGACTCAATTTTCTTAATAATTTTGTGTAAACTGCATCAGGTTTCAGTAGTGTTAATACAATCCTATCAACTTTTCAATGCATAACCCAATCTTTGTAAATATTTGAAAGGGAATCCGTGTACCTCAAACAAACTGAACTTCGGACATCTGGAAAAACAAGTTTTGTTTTAAATATGTCACTGCATGTTCATGCTTGAACCTAAATATAACTTGGAAACTCTACTTACATCATCTTCAGAATCTTTGATATCAGGGAGAACACATTTGTACTTCTCATTTGCTGCTGTTTTCATGATAACAACATTATCATGGCCTTCGATCTGTGAAAAAAAGAAACAAATATTACTTAGTCAGGGATAAACCTTAACAGGGCAAGGGTAGTACAGAATTTACTGGAAAATGATCATGAGAAGGTTGATGTATTTTATAGTCAATCATGTCTGGGTGAAAAATCATGAATGGCCAGACCATCCAAACTTTTGACAGACGGGTAGTACTTTACATCAGATATGACAATTGTTTTGCCTTGTTTAATCTGAGTAACCCTTGACATCCTGGTGACTTAGAATATTAATGTTGGGACTACATCAGTGGGCGAGGTTCAACAGTCATTCAATACTTATATTATAAGTATGTTCGTCTCTTGATGCCCAGCAATGGTATATATGGTTATTTGGTGGGGATCTCAACCATTTCAAAGTAATGATCCAATAATTTTGTCTCTAGAGGTGGAACCAGACCCCAGGGTTGATAATTAAATATGACTGTGTTTATCACTTTATGCCTATCAAATGTATACATATGGTTGTGAGGTAGGGATCCATATGGCCCAGAAATTAAGTCCCTAGGGGTGGGGCCAAACCCAAGTGTCAAAACTAATACCATGATTGAGTTCATCTCTTGATGCCCAGCAATGGTTTTATATAAGGTTGTGGGCTGGGGATCTCAACCGTTGAAAAGTTATGACTGACAGGAATAAAGTCCCTGGGGGTTGAGCCAGACCCCAGCGTCAATTCTTATATCATGATTATGTTTGTCTCTTGATGCCCAGCAATGGTATCAAATGGTTTACAATTACAAATTTAACATTTATTAACATATATCTATACTAGACCCCCTCTAATTTTTAATTATTAAGGGCCGGGTCTGAAAGAAAATAAAACAGCCAGACTTCTTCTTTTTGGATAGCACGAGGGCTTCAAACTTAAGTTCATATGCCAATTAAGTTGCACTGAGTATTTACAATTAAAGCTGTTTTATAAATCCTTTTTTTTATACTTATATAATTACTGGCCTGTAAAATAATATATCTCATGTGAGATATTGGAGCAAATGATGGCATTCTCCGATCTACTAGGCTCTCAATTTTTAACAGCAAATCGAACAAATCATACACATAGGCCTACCATAAAGTATCGAAATTAAAACCGCGTGAGAGTTGTGCCAAATTGATTAACAAGAGGATGGGGTAATAGCGGGCACTCTCGGATGATCACGAAGCGATCGGCCGAGCAGTGCGAGCCGTTATAGCAACACATGTACGGAAAGTACGGGAAAATGAGAGTGAAATGGTTTTATGCTATATGAAGGCTTCAAAAACTTTTGTCCTTCCAGTCGTACAGGCTCGCAAAAAACGGCAACATGCGTTGCTCCGTGACTGCATTGATGTTCTTTTTGTGCACAAACAATTAATTTGACATTTTCAATGAAAACCTGGTATTTTTGTCGATTTTTATGTTCAAAAACAATTCTACATCTTTTTTTACAAGTCAATGTTACTGATGAAATCCTTTGATTTTGATTTTTCTCTAACTGAAAATTGTTTCAACGTAGTACTTGCGCTTGGTTATTTGTCCTTAGCTTCAAAATGATATCAGTTGATACTGATAAGTCTGTATATATATACCAGTCATAGGTATTTTGTTGTTTGTGAACGAATGAATTGATGCTCACAACATGTTGTGACGCGACTGTGACATCACTGTTAACACGCGTCATCATAGGGTTGACAATACATTCACTGCAGTCAACCCAAATTTTTTCTGCAGCTATACCACATTATTAAGAATGTTTTTATTTTGTTTATTCTTATCCCTACAGTTCAGTGCACATTTTTGCTTTGTAACTACATTGTAGGCAGGTTCACATAAAGGATATCTTTGTTGCGACGTATGTTAGTGTACATATTTCATGCATTTATGCTACTTTTAAAAAGTTCTCACAATTACAAATACAAAGAAATTTGTTTTCGTATATTCAAACAAAACGATATTTTTCTCTGCATTTCATCTCAGAATACCGTCATATTTTACCGTTACTTGATTTAACACAATATCATTTATTATTAAAAAGGCGCACATTTTGCTGCGCCATTTGCTTCTCCTCCTTACCAAATTATTTTTGAGAAAAATATGCAGTAAATTCTCTAACAATACATTAATGATTGTGTATGTATGTTTTTGTTACAATGTTTGGATTACTATTGGTATCAGAATAATACTGAATGAAAAACAGTGAAAATACAGCAAGAAATAAACAGTAAATTATACTTATAGATATAAGTATAAATACATGTAGTTTCAAGATCATCACATTTAAAGCCCTAGGTTATTTTTTTTCGTTAAATGTATTCGTTAATGGCTATTACTGATATCAGTACATTACAGTACCATCTGAAGAAAGCAAACACAAATGATTAAAGCTAATAATTATTTTTGAATCCATACAACCACTGATTGGAAACCTTCTTCTGATTTCTTGAGGCAATCCAGAAGATCAATGAAAACATTTTTGACATTGCTATTAACAAGTGTTGCTAGAACATTTCAAATTCTGAGATGTCCATCATGCATGATGATATGTTATTGAAAGCCATTCATTTTGTTGTCCAGTTCAAATAGCGAAAAGAAACAGAAAAGCTATATGGGTCTTATAATCCTCCGCAGACTGTCTTCATTGGAATTGTTACGATTGACCAGTATGAAACGTCATTATCACTTTTAAACAAGACTGATTTTAATCAAAAAGGAATGTCCATTGAAAAATAGAATGAAGTAATTACAGATACAAAAGAAAATTATGAACTTTATTTGTTTTGAGTTTTGTATCATCGCAACAGCTAAGTAAAGAAAGACGAAAGAAAAAAAAGAGAAAGATCCAAAATATTCCAATACCGACGGCAGATCGATTTAGGTTAATTATTCCTATGCAGATGACATCTAGATGAGTGATTTAATATCGCCAATATTTAATTTGTAAGCGTTTCTAATATAAGGTGCTTTGAAAAACAATGAACCACCCCTTGTGTGTATGCCTGGGTGTGTGCTGGAAATGTAATGTGGTCATCACAGATACTGCATCATCCACTCCAGACCAATTTACACTCCACCTGGGTTGTTGGAGTTGTATGGGCAGAGAAAAATTTTTTCTCTGAATATCCATGCATACAACGACTTATACGGGGACATATATTTTGAAATAAAAGCCCACATGCTGGCAGGGGTTAAGGGAGGGATGGGGGATGAGGGACCTGGTTTAACCCCCTTCCCATGAATAAAATATAATGGTACATCCATTGAATTATGCGAGGACTGCATGTTCACTCTGCTGAAAGTACATAAAATGTAGGCTAACTGTTAAATTATGTAGGAAACAGTAATTTCCAGTGTATGTGTGCCCGCTGTTTGGGTCTCGCCTATTTCATATTATTGGAGACGGAGAGGTTTAAATGAATGTCACCCAGTAGTGTAATTCAAGCATACCTGGTCCATGGATTTAGAACCGGCCCAATCAATGGAGTGAAGATCACCGTCCATAAACGGATTAAAGGCAAGAGTTGTCAACACCGACAATGTAAACGTCACACATAAATACAAGAACACTGCCACCATATTTACCCCTAACATTTTTGTAGTATAACACAATATATTAAGTATACTTTTGACCGATCAATATCACCCGTATAAAATATTTTAAAGCAAAGGAACAACTTTAGATGACGTTGCAAAAAAGCAGACGAATTCAAACGATGGACAGCGCCATTTTGTAATCATGAACAAAGTACGCAGATCGTGGAGATTTACGATTGGAGAAAACAAAAAGTTTTCTATTTGATTATTGAAAATTTATTTTGAAGAATATTGACTTGAAGTCTGTCCATTTGTTAATTGATCTATTTCGTGCGGTCCCTTAAACTCAATCATTTAATTTACACGTAAACAAAACTTTATTTGCTGCCGTCCTGCACTTTCAGTTTCCAGCATGACGGAAATCATGTTGAGACTTACCGTTCAACTACTTTTTCTTGTAGCAGGTGTTTCTTGCATTCCGGAACAAGGGAAATGGGTTGTCCCATTTAACCAGGTATCAATGATGTTTCTTTGTAATGATATTTGCATAAAATCTGCACTGATATCATACGCTGCCGTATTTGCTTAGACGGTGCATAGCAACTGCCATGTCACAACGTCAAGGAATGGTGACATGTCATCTGCAAAAATAGACGTATTGGGGCTTTTTCTGTTAATTACAGATATACACAAATTTTTGTTTGCGAATACGCTGTCATCTTCGCGATGCCACATATTCCATTATAATCCTACACACATTTCATACCTTCCTGCACTAATTTCCCATGCTAACTCAAGATATTTACAGGGCTGTTAAGTACATTGATTCAACTTCAATGTGGGTACTCATCAAAATCCATCGCGGACATTTACTGACGAGGAAACTATTTAGATTCGCATTGTGGAATTGGCAGTGTCTAAAATTTAAAAATGGTTAAACGATAACATATTTATATACTGTACAGGTCATGATCACTGCTGGTATTTAGTAGGTAGGGTGCGTGGACCAGGGTTGGAGGGTCTGGATGGATGTTTTAAATGCCTACAACAATGGTGATAGTACAACTGATTCAGGTAAAAGGTTCCAGTAGCTACTATACTGCCAGGGGAGGTTGATATGATGTCGGGACTGCTATAAATTGGCTGACTACTTTGTACATGAGTGTTAATTACCTCGGTCCAAACACGTCTTTGTTCTAAGGTACATGTTCCATTTCAGTTCCTGTAACATAGATGTTACGCTGTCTGTTTTTTCTGGGTTGTAAGGTTTGTTGTAAACGAATCTTGCTGCTTTGCGTTGCACTTGTTCTATCTGTTTTTGTTGTGTTTTCTGTTGTGGATTCCATATTGGTGTTGCATACTCTAGCTTTGGTCTTACTAAGCTCTGATATGCTCTCTCCTTGAACTTTGGTGGACAATGTCGAAGATTACGCTTTCTTGCAGATGTTATCAATGTGTAGGTTGTACTTCAAGTTGCCACCAAGCTCAAAGCCTAGATATGGCTGGTGATCTACTATCTCAAGTGGCTCCCCTTTCATGTTGTAATTGAAGGCTCTCTTGCTTTCTTGTTGAAGTTCCAAACTGCATTATGGCGCATTTCTTAACGTTAAACTCCATTTGCCAGGTGTTGCTCCAGTCTACTAGCGTGTTCAGGTCCTTCTGCAGTTGCTCATGGTCTTGTTGGCAAAGTATATGGGTGTGTAGATGACACAGTCGTCTGCAAATAGTCTGATTGAAGAAGTGATGTTGTCTGCAATGTCGTTAATGAAGGTAAGGAATAGTGTCGGCCAAAGCACAGTTCCCTGAGGGACCCCGGATGTTAGTGGTGTCGTGCTAGATGTTGCATTGTCGACTACTACTTGTTGTTGACGGTCTTTCAAGAAGTTGTTAATCCATCTCTGCGTTGTTCCCTGTATCCCATAGTATTGAATAATTTTCTTCGACAAACGTGTGTGTGGAACTTTGTCGAAGCGAAAAGTCCAGTATTCCCATGTCAACTTGCCTTCCCTGATCTAGATGTTTGGCGATGTCATCAGTTGTCATCAGCAGCTGTGATTCACATGATTGTCTAGCTCGAAATTCATGTTGATTTTCATGTAAGATGTTTCCTCTGTCTAGGTGGTCCTTGATCTGTGAGACTACTATGTGTTCTAGCATTGTCGATATAACTGCTGTTAGTGATACTGGTCTATAAATGCTGGTGCTGTTCTGTCTCCTAGCTTTCTTATATATCGGTACAATGTTCGCATTCTTCCAGTCTGTTGGTATCTCTCCTCGGTCTAGTGATTGTTGAAATATGAATGATAGTACTGGTGTGATGATGTCGGCTGTATGTTTCAAGAATGTGATAGGTATCTTATCTGGTCCACTCGCTTTCGCTTTCTTCTCATTCATTCGCTGAATGCTCTTTATAACTCCTGAGTCAGAGATGATGATGTTGTTCATGTGGGTATATGGTGATGGTCCCTTTCCGGGAATGTTGTTGGTATCCTCCTTGGTAAATTCTTGTTCTTTGTATATATAATATTTGAACTGTTCATCAGAACACAGACGAATCCCCTTATTCACCTTACGGCTCAGCAATACTGACCAAACAAAATACCCCGACCTGTTCATAGACCGAGTTTCCTCTGGCCCTGACACCAGACTTAGACATTTTGACAGATAGATGTCTGGTGTGGGGCCAGTTTTGAGATGCTGACAACAAAAATTGACTATGACACAACACATACCTCACATAAATCAATAAATGGATTATTTATTGATACAAATCCGCTCTTATTATCACCAACAGCTGCTAAATTCTGTCAGTAGAGTCCTCCCGTTTACAATTGTTCAAAATTTCCCACCTCAGCAGATGCCATATATTGTAGGTTAGGGTAGTGACTAAACAAAAACAGGCGGTCCGGAAATTGTCTAAACAAGAATTATGTATCTGTTTTCTGTCCGAATTAGTACATCTTGTGGATTAGTAAACACCTGTAAAGGTAATTGAGGTTTTCTGGACATTCTTCTACTGTCCCTATCATCAGACATAGAACAAAACCCGGGCCCCACAAACCTCCCATGAGGGACTTGTAGCGAGCCAGTTACCTGGGACCAGGAAGGCATTTTGTGCAATGAGTGTGAAACCTGGTTTCATATTAGTTGTCAAAATGTTGGCTCAAAAACCTACAATATAATTTCTGATCATAGTAGAGTCACTTGGATGTGTAGCAGGTTTTAATTGTACATAGGATTAAGGTCGCCTTCTAGCTTCAAGCTAGAGCGTCTGACTAGGAACCTAGAGAATGATGGTTCGATCCCAGGTGGAAGCACACTATTCTCTTTCCTGTTACAGATGTATACTCATTGTGGCACTCCAAACCACTCAAACTTTGTATTCGACACACCCTTGTCATCCCTATCATCATCTTATGGGTTTGATAACTTAGAGGAAAGTCATGAGGAATCTATCCTAGCCATGACATCTACCCCAATCAAAACCCAAGCATTTTACACTTGATCCCATTTTAGTAGAAAAGGTCCCAACCATGTTCTAAGATAAGATAATCATATTCTTTTTAAATTAACCTCAGATTACTCAAACTGCTGTTGTTCATGTAACAGGAGAAATAGAAATGCACATCCAGGCCGCAGTTTGAACTCGGGACCCTCCGCTCTAAGATGCTCTAACATATTGAGCACATCTTTGACCAAGTATTAAACAAAGCGTAGCAGAATCGAGCCATTTCGGTACATAAATTGTATATAAGAAGTATTGTACATATGCTTACAGCGTAGCTGAGTTGACATCAATTTTGTGAATAACTTGTACACATTTTACAACTTTGTGTGCATACACTTCACTGGTCATTTGTCTGATGAAGGTGACAGTGTACATATCATACTAGTCATTGAAACGTCACATAGAAACTCTTATTGGTTGTGTAAAAAGAACTTTTCATAATCCATACTTACCAACCTGAAGAAAATGTTTAGAAAGAATCACTTACAATTTTTAACATAGTGGTCTTGTTCATAATTGCATATTTTTTTCTTTTTAAGGATCATACAATATTTGGAGTTATGAAGAGTATGTACAAGGGAACTCGTGTTGCTGTGAAAAGTAAGTTTTCTAACAGAATAATGTTCAAAAGATAATTTAAATAACTTTTCCATGTACATATATATCATACATAAAAAAGACTAACAAATGGGATAATGTCAAAGAACATAAAAAGCTTACCAAACTAAATCCAGTCAATCTTAACCGAGCATTTAAAGATGGCACTTTTAAAAAAAAGTATGTTATTATATATTGATATTCCATCCTATCAAATAGATTGATATACATGTACATGTAATATATTGGCAAATATTCCGCTGACATTTTCTTGTATAACAACCTGATGAATTTACATACCGTAGTCAAAAGAATTTCTTTCTTTTGCAGTTGACTGTAAGGAAATGGAAGGTGATCTAGACATCAAGTGGCTATTGAGGTACTCGCCATGTTCAGAAGAATACATTGGACTTGAGACCAACCCTGTAAGAAAACACCTTCTATAAGCTTGCAGTTGATTTTATGTTAGTTTCTGCAGCCATATAGTTATGTTTAATTAAAAGTAGCAAGTTTAAGTGATAAGATCATTTATAATACCCAAGAAACATTTCAATATTCCAAATATGTGTTTTCCAGCAAAGTTTTAATTTGACTTGTAATATGTTTATAGTTTGTGGCTGTAGTAAATTATATATACATTGTCTCCACGATGAAGTAAACAAAGGTTTTAACCATAGAACTTGTCTGAAGCAACCTTGACTTGCAAAAATTTAATATCTGTACATATGTATTATGTATCTATTTCAGACATTGCAAGAGCATTACATGTCGTTTCCAGACATGCAAATGATCAAAGAGTTTCAGAAGAAATACACTACATTTGAATTCTTTCTTGGTGAAAACGTTACTAGCTGTCAGGGAGGTGTTATACTGCTACCAGTAAGTACTGCAAAAACTCCATAATATGTTACCAGTAAGTAATACAAAAACTCCATAATTAGTCACCAGTAAGTAATACAAAAACTCCATAATTAGTTACCAGTAAGTAATACAAAAACTCCATAATATGTTACCAGTAAGTACTACAAAAACTCCACAATTAGTCACCAGTAAGTAATACAAAAACTCCATAATTAGTCACCAGTAAGTAATACAAAAACTCCATAATTAGTTACCAGTAAGTA